GATAAAATATGTGATAAAATATAATTTATTATTAAAAAAATAATTAATTAATATTTATTTAATAAAAACCGAAACCAAACCAAATTCATTGATAAAATTTGGTAACCAAACCGATTAGCTTAGAACAATTTCGATTCGGTTTTGATTTGTAAAATTAAAACCAAATTTTTTTTGGTTAATTCAAAATCGATTTCGATTTTAACAAAAACCGATTTTTGCCCACCCCTACGTGAAGCCACACATGAAGGTTTCAACTTTCAATCATGTTAGGATTTTTTTTTTCAACGATTTATAATTTACAGTGGAGATTCCAAGTTTTCAACCCACGATATACTTTTTAAAAAAATATATAATCATTGGATAATGAAACTTAAATGCATGTTGTTTTATTTTTAACAAGGAAAATGACAACAAATTCATTATATCTTAAGATATCTGCATCTAAATTATATGACATTAAATAAAGATGGTTTTTTTTTTTAATTTATGTAGTAACATTATTAAGAAAAATTCTGTCTTTAAATACATATCTAATCCATAATAATTTTTCAAGAGAATAAACTAGATAAAGTCAAATTAGGGACCACTTTTTTCTTTACTTTTTTATTTTTTTAATATATACCATATGTAATAAGTTAACATCTAAATTAATGTATTTTTTATAATTAATTTATATTAAAAATATAACGATAGCTTTGGATCATGATATCCGTTGAATTCACAACCCAGGAATTGGTGCGGGGCGGCTTTAAATTAATGTTTTTTTTTTTTTGGAAAAAGGTAAGTTTTCATTAGACGTTAGATGACATGTACAATTTCTCCTAGGTATACCCGAGAAATTACATCTTTTAGATCTTTAATCTCAAAAAATTAACTACTTTATTATATACGTCCTTTTCAACTAAAAACTTACTAAGAGTTACTCTCCTATTTCTTTCCTGCCAAATCATATATATAATGGCAGCTACCGCAACCTTCAACTTGTTTGACTGCGTCGATCGGCCTTTACATGTCTTCTTTAACCATAGCCATTCAACACTCAACCTTTTTGGTTATCTGTGAATATTCAAGAAGTCCAAAACTAACCTCCACACTTCTTTAGCAAAACTACAATAAAAAAATAGGTGCTCACAAGTTTCATCATATCTACCACACAAGCAGCACCCTTTCTCAATTTTCATACCTCTACTTGTTAGTAAATCTCTAGTTTTTAGTCTACCCCGCAATACCAACCAAAAAATGAATCTGTGTCGCGGGAAAATGCACCCTGCCCAAACAATATGATGCCATTCTACCTTAGGGCGTTTCACTCTTAGGAACTCATAGCAACTCGAAATAGTAAACAAACCATTCTTTGCAGGTTTCCATACAGCATTGTCCACTTGTTGAGATAGTTTTTGACATCTAATAATCTGGACAAGCATGGGATGTCTTCTCACAAAACTATCTGGAATGGTCCAATCTAAACCATCCCACCACTTACTAACTGTAAGGTCATGGCCCCAAACAGCAATCTCATCCCTTGAGATCAACTCACAAAACCTTAACTCACCTGCCCACCAATCATAGAATAGTGAAACTTGTCTTCCATCTCCCACTTGCATCCAAATGATATTTTTCAGTAGAGGACGAAGTTTTAAAACTTGCCTCCATGTCCAAGCACAATCCGCTGGGATTTTAACCTTCCAAAAATTTTCACCCCTCAACAGCACCACCTGTGCCCACTTAACCCATAGCGACTCTTGATGTTGACATATATTCCAAACCAATTTGCCTAATGCTGCCTTATTCCAATGCAGCAATTGCTTCACCCCTAGTCCCCCTTCTTTCCTTGGCACACATACATCATCCCATGCTACAAGAGACATTGCATTATAATTCCATTTACCACTAAATTAATGTCTTTTTATATATAACATCCATAATACTTTATTTTGTTCACTTAACTTTTATAGAGAGCTTTCTTTTAGTTTCCTCAACAGAAAAAGTTTCATTTTTAACCTTTAACTTTAATTTTTTGGCCTTTTTTTTGTACCTCTGTTAAATTTTTGTTAACATGTTACATTAATTAACGGAATTTTCTGATTTTCTTGGCTATTTTGACCCCTCTGTTAAATTTATCGCATTTAAAAACCTTAGCAAGTGATACCATATGACCCTTTCTAAATTTGCTTACATGTTCTAAAAATGCTAAAAATAAGTCCTCCCAATCAAAACATAAATTGGGTTTTTTTTATTAAATTCTTCATGGTATAATAAATATATTTTTATCATAAATTTATATTAAAAAATAAAAATTTATTTTTAATTTATTAATTATTTAGTTGAATTTATCTACTTGATAATTATAATAAAATTAATATTAATTTTTTAATTTTTTATACATTTATGACAAAAAGTATATTAAAGGCATAATCTAAAAAAACTAATTTAAATTTAAAATTAAAAAAATAAGACATCTTGATAATTAAAATATTAAAATTAATAATAAAAAAATTAAAATATTTTTAATAAATCAATACATATTTTTAATAATATTTAAATAATATCATAAAAAACTTCTAACGTAAGTATAAGATATCTTAATTTTTATTTTTTTCCTTAAATTTAATTTAATAAAGGAAAAAATAAAACTTGCAAAAACTCAAAAATAAAAGTTCCGTCAAAGTCAAACACCCCTAATTCTTAGGTTCAAAACCTCGTTCTAAATACGAGTTGCTGCTCTTGCAAAGCTACTCTCCTTTCCTCGCCTCTCATTAGAATTCAAATTGTGTTTGCGATCGTTTCTCTACGTCTGCACTTGCATACATAATGGCTGATATCGTTATCACCCTCCTCGTTATCCCTGTTATTGAGAAGGCAATCTCTAAAGTCGCTTCACAGCTCGGCAGAGGAATCGGACAATTCTGGAATTCAGGGGATTTGAAGGCGGAGCTGGAGAAGCTGCAGCGGAAGCTCATAACGATGAAATCTATGCTCGAAAAGGCAGATCCAATGCAAAGTGATGAAGGCACAAAGTATTGGCTGCAGAGGGTCCAAGATGCAGCTGATGATCTGCGGGTTCTGCTGGATGAGGATGCATATGGAGTTCACAGGCAGAAAGGTCGGATTCAAAGCCAATTCAAGAAACAGGTGCACAATTTCCTTTTCCCCTCCAAATCCATGCTTAGCAAAATTAAGGAGATTAATGT